GGGGAGGGGCGGGGGTTTGGGAGAAGGGGTGGAATGGAGGCACGGCCTGGGGCGGGGGGGGGTGTCCCAGGCCCTGCACCCCCCTAGGGACGGCCCTGGGCAGGGTGTTGAGCTCTGCCAGCTCCGATCTTGGGCCGTGTCCTGGAGTTGGTTCCAAAGAACTTCCAATTTTGACCCCAGTTTATAGAGTGAAACTTGCGTCCTGCTTAGCTGCACCTTCACCAGCCATTTTACTCAAGTCTTACAAAATAATTCTTTGACCAATCCTAACATATTGCAAAACAATTCTCTACCCAGTCCTACCCCTCCGCCTTAGTTGATTTAAACTTGCAAAATTAATTATGCAGGGACAGAAACAATGAAAGAACCAGACAGACCAGACAGAAAAACAATGGAGAAGTGGGGCCCATACAGGCAAAACAAGAAAGAGGTAGAGATTTTATAACCACAATCGTTGATAAGTGATTTCTTGCCAGACAGATGCCATCACACAAAGTTTTCTTTAACCATCTTGAGATCTGTTTCTTTATCTGGTGATGATAGATCCTATTAGAACAGGAGCCTCCTTAGTCGCCTGATAGTTCATTGGTTTGGTATCATGTAGAGGGAATGTGAGGACCTGCCTTTCTGCTTCTTGGCTCATGGCTGCTGCCGTGCTAATATGGCTGCAGAAAATGGCCTCAGACCTTACAGCGGGGGGGCTGGGAGCCCGGACGCCTGGGTTCTATCCCTGGCATTGGGAGGGAAGTGGGGCTTAATGCAGGGGTGGGCAAACTTTTTGGCCCGAGGGCCACATCTGGGTATGGAAATTGTATGGCGGGCCATGAATGCTCATGAAATCGGGGGTTACGATGCGGGAGGGGTGAGGGTTCCAGCTGGGAGTGTGGGCTCTGGGGTAGGGCCAGACATGAGGAGTTCAGGGTGCAGGAGGGGGGTCCAGGAGGGGGCAGGGGGTTGGGGTGCAGGTCGGAGGTGAGGGCTCTGGCTTGGGGGGTGGGCTCTGGGGTGCCGGAGGGTGGGACTGAGGGGTTTGGAGAGCGGGAGGGGGATGAGGGCTGCAGCAGGGGGTTGGGGTGCTGGAGGGGGTGAAGGATGCAGGCTCTGGGCGGCGCTTACCTCAAGCAGCTCCCGGAAGCAGCGGCATGTGCTCCCTCCAGCTACTAAGCGGAGGCGCAGCCAGGAGTCTCTGCGTGCTGCCCCGTCCACAGGCACCGCCCCTGCAGCTCCCAATGGCTGCAGTTGCCGGCCAATGGGAGCTGCAGGAGCAGTGCTTGGCGCAGGGGCAGGGGCAGCGTTGAGGAGCCTCCGGCTGGCCCTACACGTAGGAGCTGGAGGGAGGACATGCCGCCGTATCTGGGAGCCGCCTGGGGCCACGGCACACACTCCCCGGCAGGAGCTCGAAGGCCGGATTAAAACGTCTGAAGAGCCAGATGCGGCCCCTGGGCCATAGTTTGCCCACCCCTGGTCTAGTGGGTTAGAGCAGGGGGGCTGGGAGCCAAGCTTCTTGAGCCACCAAACTCCTGCCCCCCGCTGTAGGCCCTGTCTCCACACCAGGGTATGGGGGGGGGGGGCACAGGGATGAGAGCAGGGCCCCATTCTGTCTCTGGCCCTTTCCCACCCTTCCCTGACCCCCCAGTTCAGCCCAAGGTGAAAGTTTCCCCAACGAAATCGGGGTCCGGGCCCCACTCCCACCTGCTGGTTTGCTCGGTGATGGGGGTTTACCCCGGGGGGATTGAGATCAAGTGGCTGAAGAACGGGCAGGAGCAGACGGCCGGGGCGGTGTTCACGGAGCTGCTTCAGAACGGAGACTGGACCTTCCAGATCCTGGTGATGCTGGAGATGAGCCCCCAGCGCGGGGACGTCTACACCTGCCAGGTGGAGCACATCAGCCTGCGGGGCCCCCTCGCCGTGCACTGGGGTAAGAGCCTCTGACTGTGGAGCCTTCAGGGGATGGGCCTGGGTCAGAGCGCCCCCCCCCCGGGGCAGAGAGCCAGGACGTGAGAAGGGGAACAGGAGGCTGGGCTGAGCCCGAACCCCCCAAGCTCCTGTTTTCACAGTGGCGCAGCCTGACTCTGCCAGGACCCCGATGCTGCTGGGGGTCGGGGGCTTCGTGCTGGGGCTGATCTCCCTGACGCCCGGACTCCTCACCTACCTGAAGACTACGGGAGGTGCCTGGCTCTGGGCGGGAACCGCAGCACCAGGGTGTGTGGTCAGGTGGGCTGCGGGAATCGGGTCCTGGGCTCCCCGTGGCAGACACACCGTAATCTGGTCCGGCAGGGTGTCTTCACTGCAGTTACAACCTGCAGTGTTGTCAGGGCTCCGTGGGGGTAGCTGGGCCTATGTCCCACGGGGAACCCGCTTGCTTCCCGGGCACCCCAGCTCAGCCTGGATGCCCTGCCAGGGCCTTCCTGGTTCCCATCCCCCACCCGCGCCCACCCCCTTTGTGTATGTAGCTGGACCTGACCCCTGCACCCAGGCCTGGCTCCTACAGCCCCGGGGGCCCGCTGGGCAGCCCCTCCCTGAAGGGTTTATTGAACGGCACAGGCCAGCGCCGGATCCTGGATCCCAACAATCCCACGGCGCCCCCAAGTGTCCAACGTCCCCTGAACGTCCCAGAGGGAGAAGAATCCCACCCCCCACCCAGGGCCCCGATCTCCCAGGGCCCCGATCCAGTCCTGCCCTCGGCGCCCTCAGCTCTGGAGCCGGGCACAGACCCAGCCCTGAGTGCCATGTCCCCAGGAGAGGGGCCGATCCCCACGCCTGGGCCGGGGCCGCCCCCTGAGGCCCTGGACTCCCCTGGTCTAACGTCCTGGTAGACTCTGGAATGAGAGAGGAGAGTGGATGGGTTAGGGGTGGGGTGTAACAGTTCCCCAACCCCCACCCCCACCCCAGAGAGGGGAGAACTCACCTGCGTCTGCTCCACCACAGCACCACGGCCACGGCGGCTACGGCCACAACCCCCAGGGTGATGCCCACGGCCAGGCCGGGGCCCCAGCGCCTGCTCTGCTCTGTAAAACAGGGGGTGCCGTGCTGGGAACGGGGACACTCCACACAGCTCTCTCCACCCAGTCCCATTCGCGCTCCCCACACCCCCCACCCTGTTCCCACACCCAGTCCTGTCCCGTCCCCCTCAGCTCCTCCATCCTGTTCCCCTGGTCCATCGCCCAACTCTCCCCTTCTACCTCCCTGCGCCCCAATCCCGCTGCCTGGACCCAGCCCCGTCCCACTCAGGACGTGCAGGAAAAGCCCCCAGAGACCACGACCCCCCCCCCCCCCCCCCCGGGCGCCCCCCCCCCCCCCGCCCGCCCCCCCCCCCCCCCCCCCCCCCGGGATGTGCACCTACCCCAGGGGATCAGCAGGCTCCGGCCCCCCAGGCTGCTGTGCTGCACCTGGCAGGCGTAGCTGTGCCCGGCGCCCGGCCCCACGGCCAGGGAGCTGCGCAGCTGGTAGGTCAGGTC